TTAAATATCAGTATTAAAAGATGTTGTTTTATTTCAGACAGTACACTATTTAACAAAATTTATAGTTACTAAAAATAATAATTCTATCTCTTAGAATTGAATTTTAGTATATCATTATGTACACTTTATCAACCCCATCAATGACAGTATCTCTCATGATCATGAATCAATATTATAGCTTTTCATTACAATAATGGAATAAACAAATCCACTACAGAGATAAATAATAAAAACAACTGTACGATATTCATTTTTTATAGCATACCATATTATTTTTATGATAGTCATTTTTCTAGCTGATTTTTGGTGATTCACTGCATCTGTTCATGATGTTTGAGTGAGACATGTCTCTTATCATTTGGGAAGTCAATAAAAAATATCTCAATATGAGGCTTGGAAAGTACAGAGCAAATTAGCCTTCATACATTGTATCTATTTCGCTTTTATTTTATAGCAAATAAGTGGGACCCCTGATTTTCTCGTCTGTGTCAACGTGTAGAGGGCGCAGGTCACCGAAAAACAGAAAGTTGAAAAGTTCAACAGTCATGTTCAGGGTTCGTTTTCATTTTTGTAAACAAACAAGATGGCGTCGGGCGTAATTGATAGCACATGCTTTGCTTTCAGCCACAAAAAAAAATCAATTTTACGCGGAAATATGTCGATATAATAACCAAATCTGGTACAGTATGTATTTTGAAAATATATTTATAGTATGCAAGTGTCAGAATAGTTATTTTCTGAAAATAAAGTGTGTTTTTAGGTGATTTTATTCACCACCAGTATTGACACCGACGCCTCGATCAAGGCGATCATGTTACAAAAACAACGATCAAATTACAAATTGCTAATTACCCTAAACTTAGAAATTAATTATAAATGGAAGAAAAAATATTTTCTATTAACGTTTTTTTGATATTTTCTCATATTTTTTTAACTTACATGCACACATACGATTTTAAAATAATTATTGTTAATTAATTGCATAATTAATTACCATCGTCCCTGGTGACCTCGGCCAATCAGTTAAAATACACCCCTTTACTAATACTATGGTGTCTAGTAGTGAAGAACTGATCATTTGGAATCCTGGATGCTATTTAATTTTTTTTTTAAACCTTTTCAACTTGAATAATATATCATTCATACTTATTCTCTAACAAAAACATCCCTTGTCACATAGCTCAGTAAATTTCAGTAAAATAAAAAAGAAACAGGCGTCATCTTGTCATGAGACGGATTAAACAATGGTATTGACTTTCCTTCTTGTAACTTTGTGTTATTCACGCGTAGTAAGATAATCTTTTCAATTAATTATTTATTAATGCATTTTATCATCAGATCCTTAGTTGCAAATACGATCACTGAACTTTCGACCTAACACCACAGACAGGTCACTGACCATCTTTGAGAATTTCTGTTACAAAATCAATATTTGTTTTGGTCCAGTCCGAGGAGTGATAAGTGAGCTATAGAAATAAAGTTGATTTTGTTTTTTACATAATTATACAATAACTAACACAAGGTCAAAGTTATTTAGATTAACATCAAATGTACTGTATTAGTTATAAACATGGCCATAGAACAAGGATACATTTTGGAAGTACAGTAACCCTTGTATGACAAATATGATTGTATCTTGAAATTATTTGCTGATGATACAGTATATACCATAATAATTTTAATACTTTACTGTTACCAAAAAGAACTTTTGGAAGAGTGGTATGGTCATTATAAGCTGATGTACATATTGTACTAAAACTTAATATATTTATAATTGACATACTGAAAAGAAATATTTTTAGGATTCCATGTGCTTTACAATACTGTATTGTGGGTATCAGTATAGGATTCCCATTCAGAATTCTTTTGTTCCCTTATCTAACTATCTGGCACGATTCCTACAATATAAATAACCTGAATAACAAAATCCTTTCTTTCTAGGTACATACCCATTATCGCTGGTTATCGCTGCTTGACAACTCAAACATTTAAAAATGTGGTTTGGTTGATTTTATAAGCATTAGAACCATGATCATTCATTATTATAAACAATTAATAACTGCCATTTATAATCCTATCCTGTACAATTTGATATTCTGACATGACAAACAGAAGAGAAATTGATTTGGTTAGTAAACTACATGATGTACTAAACTACTATCAAATTTAATATTATCTAATTCTTGTCTATATAAACATGCACAATTTTTTTTTTCTTTGGCAGAATACAGTATGTACATAAAAAATACATATTTGAATGAGAGTCCAGTAGATAAAATCCAATACTGTACTGTAAAATAAAAACAAACATTGGCAATTTAAATGGACACTGAATACAAATTACAGTTAAGATGTTATACCGTATATACAGTACCTGTGTATAAGATTACCCCATATTTTATGAAGATTTTTGTATTTTTTGTATAACGGGCATATAAGACAACTACCTTGTTTCACCAACGGAATTCACACTTTTTGCTGCTGTTTATGATCCTTGATACTGCATCTTGCTCTCAAAAAACCGAGCTTAATAATGTAAGGCTAATCATCCAAATACATATTTTTTTATTTTTGTAGTATTTTTACTACATATATTAGTTACTATTATGTTATATTCACTGACTTTGATAATACTTCTGACCCCTGACCTGTCTTCATTTACATTTTTATACTGTTTATTGCTTATGCTTTAGTCCTTTTGTCTTAATTGTATGCTTGAATAATTAACTTGCTTAGGTCTATCCACCAAGTTTATGTTAAATTCACATTCACCTGAAGAAGTGCACCGTGTGCATGAAAGCTTGTGTACTGTCATAAATAAACTAGTCATAAAAGTACTGAATATCCTGAGATTTATCATCCAAATAGAGTAATACCATATTAATGGGCTTTTAAATGTTTATCAAAATCTAATTTCCCCGCATGTAAAATTGAATTCATTCATACTAAAAGTTACTGTAGTAGCTTCATTTCCGTACCAAATTTGCATAGTACAGACGATCTGCACATAAGAAGAACATGATTTAAAAATAAAGAATGTATGTGTTGCGCATAAGACAGCTCCCTGTTTTTGGACTGTACTGTAATTTGATACTTTAGGCCTCGTCTTAAATGGCAGAATATAAGGTACTGTATACTAGGAACAATCTAAGATTTCTTAGCAAGAGTTACTGTTCAAAAAAATTTAAGTAACATGTTTAAATTTGTGAACTGACTTTTCCATTTATTGACTGTGAATCTGAAATCCTAATCCTCCCAAGAACATGTCCCATCTATTAACATGATTAACATGTAACTTTACCCGAATCCATTACATGAAAGCAACGTAGCATTAGAAAATAACTGTATCATCAGCTCTGCTTTTAAGTTTATTACTGTCTTCTTTCTCCGCTATTGAGAATGAAAATAAAAGCTACCATACACAAACCATGTTTTATATACTAATACTATAGGTCATTTACATCTATATTCATTCATATTATATTGATTAGCCCAAGGGACACTTATAGCCAGGGGATGGTCATAGCTCAGGGGATGGTGATTCAACTTTTACTAGCTATAAAGGTGACATACATACATACATACCATTCTGACCTGAGCTAATTATCATTATGTATGGTGATGCTAGAAAAGGACTATAATCACCAAAATAACAAATAATTTGTAATGAGACTGTGAGGAATTCATGACTGATGTTACTACTATTACTATTAAAACAATTTAAAACATTTTGAACTGCAATTTACAATTCCAATAATAATAAACAATTCATAATGATAAAAAAATTAATAAATATGCAAGGTCTCATATAATGTGTATGATGGAGTGACTCAGGCCAGAAACTGCTTCTCAATAGCAGTTACTAGGCAACCAAATCAGAATCATTGATGCGTGAAGATAATTCAAATTAAAGTTACATGAATCATAGAACCCAGACTATAAAATCAATTCCATTAAGATAGTCAACAATTAACCGGATTGACTTACTTAAGGAAATTTAACCCTTTGGGAAAGTGCAAGAACTGTGAAGGTACTCAACATATAAACCTTAAAAGCATGGGTTCAATAACGCAAATGTCACAAAATTCATTCAATCCTGCTAAATAATATGCAATATAAATTTACTATAGTATTAGTTAGTCAGAAAAAGCCTACAGCCATCCAATGGTAAAACAACGTAACTGCTTTCATATTTTTGTTCAGTTTTTTTCTAGACACTATGAATCATGATGTAAGGTAGGGGAGAATATTAACAGAGATGTAGTTATGGTGGGCGAGGCTACCCAGCCTTGTGGTTTACACCCAGTGGCAGACTAAAGCTAATTTCATGGCTCACCACCCACCTTATAATTAACCTCCCTTAGCCATCCTTAAAATCCACTCTTATTGTTATAATTTAGAGTTTACCAATGTTATAACCCACCCTTAAAATGTCTACCACCCACTATCCTTAGTTTTCTATGAAAGCTACAATCCTGTTGTAAGGTGGGAGTGTTTTTGAGAGTAGTGAAAATACAGTACTTGGTGAAACCCCTAAATCCCCGATATTCAACCCCTGGCCCAACAAAGATTTTGATTCAGCCCACGAAACATTGCTAAAAACAAATTATTTTCCAACCGATTTTTAGAAAAAGTTTTTCTGTTTACAGAAACACCACATAGGTACCCCTACTCTAGCAATGTTTACAAGAGTGTGGCTTTTTTTAAGTGTAGCTCACTGTATCTAGTGACGTAGGGTACTTGCATGTGGGGGGGGGGGCTAGATTTGGTGCAATGGTTTAAGTGGGACACTGATATGATGCGGGGGGACTTGTTATTCTGTTGAAAATACTGCTTTGAAATTTGTTTTTGAGTCTGAAAGTGCAATTTCCAGAAATGTAGAGGTATCTATGTTTAAAATGTGCTCACTTTATTCCCAACCTCTGGTGAGTGGATATTTTTGTGGTAGGAAAATTTCCAGTGGCAGGGTAGGAGACTCTGGAGTCCCTGGAGTGCAGGTTTTTTTTGTTGTTTTTTTAAATTAAAGAAAGAAAAGAGAAGAAAAGAAAATTAAATTCAAATTCAAGTCTGAGAGTGACATTTCCGACTATCTATTCTAAAGGTGCCATAATCATAAATTTTCTTGTCTCAGTCCCAACCATGATGGGGGCTTAGGTGGTATTTTCCCCTATCTTTGAAAGTTGCTCCCTGGCCCCTTCTATTTCAAATTCACCGCTATATTTAAGAAAATTGAAGTACACAATTTATGTCGGCCTGCCACTGGTCTCAACAAATCGGAACTGGCCCCCAGCTTAAAAAGGTTGAATATTAGGGCCCTTAAAATGTTCTACACCACTAATTCATAAGGCTAAAATTCATTATGTATGCAACACCTGATAAATAAACAAAGGGTTTCATTGGTGTGTGAAATATTCTGTTAATACATGCACACTTTATAATAAACAATGCAAATTAATTGGAAGAATAAACATCCATTCTGATCTTTCCAGATGACAAGTGCAAAACTAAGCTTGTGTCGCTTGTAATAAACGTGGTGTGCGTCATTTTAAATTTGCTATGCCTCTAAATCCTTAAATTACTATACAAACATAAAATTACATTTCAAATTAAGTTTATCTATTAAAAGGAATTCATTAGACTTGAGGGAACCATTCCACAGCATCATTTGATCAAGTGGTTATGAACAGTCGGCTCTTCAAAAGTAAATTCGAGTCCAAAATTACCAGACTCGTAATAACCTGTAATAACAAAAATTACTTTTAAAGGGAAATATCACAGAGAAAAAAATATATAATTTATAAATCAATTCATCCAATCTTACCATACTGCAAATACAGTAGGAATCCGATCTGAATGGCTGGTTCCTCATTTGTAAATCAGATTTCAAAATTATAAGAATTGTTAAAACAGATTAGGCAAGAACTCTTTAAATAAGTTACTGAAATATATATGTGAATATAAGAGCATCTGTCAAAAAGGTGAAGCCAAGGACAATGTAGAAATTTAAAATTATTCTTTTGAATTCAAGATTTCATCGAAAAAAATGAAGTTAGAATACAGTAACAATGTTAAAATAACACAAAAAATGTATAAACTATTCAAATAAAAACATTGTGCAGAGATAAAAATCAATATGATGCTCTTCCCTACGTAGTAACCTTTAATCAGATGGCTTTTAGTAAGTAGCTATGATTTTCTACAGTAGGATTTCAACATGATGATGTATCCAAACCAAACTGTCAATAAATTCTGTCTTCTCATCTATCCTATATGACATCAACCTTTATACTTGATATTTCAAAGAAAACAGGAGGTAAGTTACTGAGTCAAAGCCTTTATTAACTGAAAATGTACGACAATATTAGGACTAAACACTTGGTATAGAAAGAATGCACAAGTTGATATAACACGAGTAAGGGAGCTGAAAATAATGTAATGGTGTATGTAGCCCCCTGTAATAATTGCTTTAGTGCAAAAATAAAATAAATCAAATTATGACGGTTAAAGAGCAGAGAGGTTTATGGTTTAAAGAAATATGACTTAATAATAATATTGACCAGATTTTAGATTTGTAAAAAATATGAATCACATACCATACGTTCCACACGATTAAAAATGATTGAGGAATATGTAAACACTTACATTTTATGTTTAGAACTGCAGGAGCGCTCTTGATAACTTTGCCAGTATTTGTGTCCTTTGCTTCGCAGGCGAAATACCCCGCATCAGCATTACGTAGTACTTCCTTTATTGTTAAATATTCGCCGTCAACATAACGACGTGATGTGTCTGAAATTGTGTTACCATCTAAAGTCCACGTTATCTCGGCACTATCGGGATCATCCACCGAGCAATGGAAGTTAGCTTGACCACCTTGATTAACATCCTGGCTAGCAGGTTCATTCGTAAATGTCAATGCAAATGAAACACGGAAATATACTGAAAAATATCAAAACAACATAATAATTATAATTGTAATAATAAAATTCTCAAAGGTCACCTACTATGGCAAATTTATCACAAATTTTAAATGTATCGTGTATGATCACGTCATACATGCACTTCACATATTGGAGCCTAGCACGATAGAATTGGTGAAGTGTGCTGGTGATTGCACACAGTAATACTAAAATTATAAAGCGATATTTTACAAGATTTTGCTTCAAATGGGATGGTGAATTGTTTTATCACCATTTCAATGAGGTGGTAAATAGCCTATAGTTAAAATTTCAATAGCATTAAGTCTCAGCCTCAAAAGAGCATTTTTAAAAGTTGCATAACTTTTTATCCATATATATTAAAAGCAAGCAAATTATATTTTTTGGTATTTTTAATACCAAAAATTGAATACCAATTACAATTAAAATTTGGCCAGTTGTAAATGTCTTTAAACAAAATACTGATTCTTGAGCTCCCCTGGGGGCCATCAGAAGTAGTCAAACTAGACATGAACAAACCAACATTAATTTATTCAGACAATACTGTATTGCTCGCCCAGGATATGTGACCTTTGCAACATTCTTTACTGTTTAACCTTTCTGTCTGTGCACGACCTCCTCCTAGTTTGAGGTGACTGGGTCTTGAGTAGAGACAGCTAGTAGACCCATCAAACAGTTGCACAAGCCTCATGAGAGGAAGAGATGGTGAAATGGAAGTAGGCTCTGCAGACATTATACAAGACAGATTTTAATGCTTACTGGGCAAATTTAGCCTATATTTCTTATACGGTAACTCCTAAGTACACAACAGACATTGGAACATACACAGAATTAAAAAAATAAAGCAATATATTTATCAAATTCCTTGTACCAATTTATTGATTGTTTAGGCTCCACATAGAACTATTTTTTATCAATAATACAGAATTGCTCAACAGCAACAAAAAAAAATAAAATCAACATATGTGGCAAAGACAAGCCAAACCAGTCACTCGTCGCAAATCGTGTTTCAGAGAAAATGGCCAAAACATGCTGGAATGTCAAATTTTTTTTAATCTATTTCATTGCTTCATTTCAACTAATCTTTATATATCTACACATCATTCTATGCTGTTATTTTTCCCATTTTCAATGTTAAAACAATACTTTTTAAGGATTTAAAGATAGTTTCTGCATGAGAAATGCCTGAAATCATAAACTTTGACGGTTAATTTCTCATATATTGTTCTTTAAACAGCTGTGTGGTTAAATGCTTGTAACTTCATAACGAAATGTCCGATTTGAATGATTTTTTTACCATTTTATAGCTATTATTTTACTCTCTACCACTGTATTAATAACTCAAAATCGATTTTTGCGACGAGTGACTGGTTTGGCTTGTCTTTGCCACATATATCATTCGATTTTCATTATGAATTGTACTAATCTTATTCTTAGGTGCATTTAACCTCTAAAGAACCTTTGTATATGCAACCTAGAAAATGGTGAGAAAGCTTTCTTGTCTAATGGAACAGATGATGTTGCTGTATCTAAAAAGAATCTTAACAAAGGCTTGCCAATAGAACTGTAAAGCGATTATCTATAGCCCTATTATTCTTCCTGAATAACAGAGAACAATCAGGTGAACAAGGCAATAGTGGCGAATAGGTACAGTACTGTGGGTGTAGAACTCACCTGCCTTTCACAGTAAGGTGTTAATGTACAAGTAACAATGGCTCCTGCCAAGTCTATGCAATTACTCCACATACCTACCACATTTTTTATCACTGACCATAAATGGCCATTAAAATCAATTCTGAATTTCTCCCGCCTAACCTTTGTGACCCTTCCCTATGTCGATACGCCACTAATGATTTGCAAAATGCATGATGTACAGTACAGTATTACCATTTTTGATTGAATAATGATTTAAGACATACTAAACTGTATATTCTGATAATCTGTTTTGGTTCCAAAAATGTCAATATTAGCTCTGGCATTTATTGAAACAAGTACTGTAGCAAAGGTAAAGGTAAGAAAATAACCCATAACTCGCGGCGTCATTGGGCTGAATTGCGTATGGGCATGGACCGTGACCACCTACTGTAGCCACCATAAAGGGTGCTTAATGTAGTATATAGCCTAGTCACCCATCTTAAGCACCGTTCATTCTGTCTTAGTCTTGACTCGCCCAAAGCATCTGCTTCTTCAAGGCATTTAAGTACAATTGAAATCAAATATTAATAATTAAATGATCATCAACATTTACAATCTGTTTGATTCCAATTTTAATTAAGTTATGGTAAATCGAATTTGACAATTGAATAGCTGTCAGTATTTTTCTGGTGGCTATTTGTCTCTCCAAGTTGGATACAGGGTCATTCATTTTCTAATCTTTTCACTTCAGTACAAACATTAGGATCAAACTACTGTAGGCACTAAGAAAACTATTAGTTTATATACATCTACACTTTATAAACATTTATAAGAAAAAAAAACCCTTTTAAATTGGCTCTGCAACCTTACTTAAATAGGGCCTACTGCCAACAAATTATGCATCATTGCCCTTGACTTAATTAAAAAAGTAAAACTAATTCATAATTTGATAAAAAAATGAATTTGAAATTAACATCTATCTTAATAAGGTCTAGGCTTAGGCCCTAGTTGAACCATATATGTTGCCACAAAACACAGACACTACATTGGCATAGCCTAGGCATAGGGCCTAGTACTTGTAGTACTAAGTAGTACCTTTTGTTGGTTGAGTACCAAGTGGAAATAAAATGACCTTCAATTCTTCAAGATCCAAAGAAGATGACAGAAATTCATCATTTGGATGTTTCACTAACTGGATAACCAAAATGTATTTATTCATGAAAAGCTTAAATACCAGAGCGCTAACCCGTATTTTATTCTTTTTTTCAGGTTGTTTTTAGCGAAAATGATAGTATCGTGAAACTTTTTAGAAATGTTTTCTCGGCCCCAGCAGAGCCACCAACACCATCGGCGGCCACCAACACATTGTTCCACAAACAGGCCTGCCTGCAGCCTAAGCTACAGTAGATGTCACAAAGCAAACTTACAAATACCTACCGTAAAAATATACAATGAAAAAATACATCCTAGGGAAAGACAGAGGGTTATAATTCCGATAAGCCATCTTGACTGTTCATTGAAGTAAGACACAAGTTTTGTAAAATTCCTTTTTGAAATTCATAAGTTTCAGAGAGCTTCGCATTACCTATCCTTTGGTCTACAGTCCAAGAATCCCACAAAAACACATGTAGCATACAGTATCTCTCTTCCAGAGCGACAAGGAGCTCGAAAAGCCGAATTATTATAGAGGGCGTAAACCATTTTGTTTATTCTAACTACTTTGTGTTGAATACGTACTCGTGCGAATAAGCAAAGAATATAGATAGATATTCTCAAAAAGTTCTATTTATACTCTTTGATATTCTTTGGAATAAGTGTCCGGGCACTTTCGAGGTTCCTTATATCCGACGAAAAAGTCGCACATTTTTAGCGAAGTACCATAAGGAATAAAGTAATATAAAATTTGATATTCAATTGAGGTAAGTTTTAAAGTTTTTCGTGACTTCAATTATACTTTTAATTTGTGTAATAATCAAGATATGAAATAGAAAAATGAAAAGTTGTCTAATTCTCATAAAGTTTTTCATGACTTCAATATACTTTTTCATTTGTGTAATAATCAAGATATGAAATAGAAAAATGAAAAGTTGTCTAATTCTCATTTTATGGAAAAGTATAAACTTTGCAAATAAAAGGATTGGTTGACTAGCTTTTAAACTGCATTGTTTCAAAGAATATAAAGGGCTCTACAATACTGTAATACTAATTCCCTTGCCCATAAAAACAAATCAAACATTGTTCTGAGTACAGCTGCCAACAATGCTATTATGAAAATTAAATTGCTGTTTCCCAAGCTCAGTAACACTTGAAAAACAGGCTTGGGTCGGTCAGTAATTTTATTTTGTTAATTTGTGAATAGCAGGTGTAGAGTTAAAATTACTATTAATAAAATATATGTAATATTATTAATTACTGTATCACTACCAGTGGTGTAATGTCCTTGGAAGCACACAGGCGTTACACCACTGGTAAGGCTTGGTAGTAAAGTGCTAGGTGGTAATAGCAGGAGAGCCGCCTTGCAGGCCCCTTTTGATTGGGGGCTGGGACTGCGCGCCCCAAAGAGTCTATGGCGTTATGCCAGATTACTGGTAAGGTTTGCACAGCATCTCTTTGATACGGGGTTTGATATTGTAAAATGAGTGTTGCAATTTAATTTGGTTCACAGTGTTGAAACAGAGAAATTACTGACTTTGGAACCCTTGCATTTGACAATGTAGTAAAAGCTAATGAAAAATAGTAACGAAAGGTGATTGCAATTCACAGGTAACACCTTTCATTATGTACTTTGTATTATATGGTTAGGTAAGTGAAAAATGTGATTGAATTCTGTGTATGCTAAGACATTTAATAACTTAAACAGGCAGCATATCAAGTGACAGGGAGTAGGGAATAACACAAGAAGATAATAAAATACAACAAAGCATTTTTCATTTTCATATTTTTTATTAAAATTTTAAGTATTGTATTTACAGATTTTGCTTGCTTTGCTAAAAGATCACCAAATAACATGGAATATCTGAACTAATGATCACCATGGAAACAAAGAAGTGACAGAAACATTCTAAAATTAAAACTCTTTACAAGGAGCACCTCAAGTATAAAAATTGACATTTATACATTGAAATTATTTTTAGAAATTTGTAATTATCAAAGTGATGTACGTTACAAACTTTGGTGGAAGCAATTAATAGGCTTATAATTCTGTTCTCATATATAATGCCAAATTTGCCGTTACGGTTACCATCTGACTCCTAGCTTATTTACATAAACAATCCAGTACCATAAATTTGAAAATTTACACAAATATGCATGTTAAAAATGTACACATTTAACATTAAAATCAGCTCTACAGTACAGCTCTATAACACCTTTCTTTGCATATTATAGAATTCATACTGGCGCACACACCAAAAAAGAAAAGAAAAGAAAGAAGAAAAAAAACCAGCCTACTGCAATTAAGAAACAAGCAAATTATAGCAGATACCTTGCTCAGACATCTAGTCTGTGTTTTACATAGTATTATATAGAAGAAAAAAAAGTCCATTCATATGTTTGAGGGCGCTATAAGCAACAAAGAACATTCTGCATATCTAAACCACATAGGAGAAAACTTTGACTAATTGATGGGTGTCTACTGACAACCCGAGACAAAAGTCCTTGAGACAACTGTATAATTTGACTGTTCTATTTACAAAACAAATTGGGTGAAGTGGTCCTTGCCTATTCTCTTTGGTTATATCAAATATAAACTTATTATCAAAAAAGTTACCTAGAATATTCATAAGTGGCATTCTCTCATAAGGTCAGAGGTCCAATTTGAGCACACACCCATCACATGTTAATGTTTTCTAAGCACACCGCATCACAACCGGTTAATGACAAAGATACGTGGTTGTTTCATATTATCTGTCATAGGTAAATGAATGCGGGCTCAAAAATAATCATGACATCATTTTATGGGGGAGCCAGTTTAAGGATACCTCCTATATCTAATGGCACCATCACATCAGTAAATATTGAGCAATAAATATAATTTCCATTTGATTTATTTTTTTTGCCCACAAATCATCTTATCTTTACAATAACATAGAAGTGCATAGACTAATAACGCTACAAGGTATATAGATGTTAAAGACTACTTCAAGATACATATACTGTATTTACAGTTAATAGAATACAATTCTAGACATATGCTTACATGTTATTAGAGAAATGTTAAAATAATTTTTCAAATATCTTAACCACCATACATAATTATTATATTTCTTACAATTCATACAATTTGTATTCATTTGTATGATGGCAGTATTCAAACCAATCAATTATATAAGAAAAACACAAGGTGAGTTAAGATACATTGAGATAATAGTAGAATAATGAAAAGACTAATTTAAATTTATTGAATTTAAGTAGAGGTAAATATTATTTATATTGAAAAAAATAGTAAAATATGCTTAATACTATGCTCAAATTAATTGAATTTATTGGCATAATTGAATATATTTTTATCTATTATTTACCTAAATGGAAATTTAACTATAATGGCAAAATTAACAACAACATTGCAATAAAACATGTGCTGTAGTAGGTAAAACCATTCCTATAACCAGTAATTAAAAGAATCCATCTTTAATATAGATTGTTCAACATCACCATTTCAATTAACTATAGACATTTAATTTGATCAATCAAAACGAAGGTGAATACAATACAATATGACTAAAAATTAATGATGCATCATAATACAAATATTAATAACAATAACAATAATATATCTGTCCTATACTGTATAGTGTAAGACCTTTTTGAAAATTTGTATTATAGACCTATCTTTTAAATGCTAACTTCATAATTCACACATCTTTTTGTTAACAAGACCAGAACTGCCTCAATTAGGTCAATCATTTTATTCAAATTTCTGAATCCCTAAATATGTAGTAAATAAAACCATAAATTGCATAGCTCAAAAAGATTAATAATTATACATCATTCGTTAATCATAACGAAAACAATTAAAAAAATATACATAAAACACATTAATTTTTTTATAGTAGAATTTATGAGTTGTACATCTCAATTTCTTGACAATGGCAGTTAATGCTTTGTTCAAATAATAGTTTCCGAGAACTAAAGGAAAAACATTGTTAAAAACTAGTTCTTTAATATAAATTTTGTACAATACATTAAAAACATAATCCTTATTATGAATCTCAGCTCTTCATACTTTATTCAATTCTATTGCAGAACTTTTCAAGATATCATTTTCATACAATATCTATCAAAGATTATTACCAATATATACAATTATATATCAATAAATACTAATATCTATCAATGAATATTAATAATTAAAATTTATCAATAATCATAGATACATATAAATAGTTATTAATATAATATTATCAATATATAATTACATATCACTAAATACTGCTATATACTTATCAATATACTAAGATTTATCAATAAATATTGATATATATCAATAGCTATCAATACATTTTTATTAATTTAAAATTTAATACATATCACTGATAATTTACATGAATAAATATCAATGTAAATTAAATATATCAATACTTAAATCAGATCAGATACACCTCTACACACATCTGGTTGTGCTGGAATGTATGTACAGCAATTAAGAATATTTACATCATATATACACATTGTTACCAGGTAAAGGGCACTAGGTAAGAACATTAAATTACAATGTTTCAAAATCTCAGATAGAAACATGTGGTGCATAATGAAGTGAGCCCTCTATAGCCAATGAAACCACATTATCCGTGGTTGTAACTCTTTGAGAGTTGTTAATCACATTTGGTGAGGTGCTTGTTTAAAAGCAATACTTATTCAATCATTCATGGTATGTTTGGATTTGTAAACCCAATGTTTTTATCTACTACTACATGACACATGTTTGATTACAGGAATAATCTTTTTTTTTTTTACAACCAGATACACATATCACATAACTCTCACCTATGAAGTCTAATGATAAGGACAGGCTAATCTAATACCCATATCATAAGAGATCCTATGGTTTATGTGGCAGTCATATAATTTCTGGTAGTTGGAGTTTTGATTCTGATCCTTTTCTGTTTCTTTGGTTAATTTCTAGACGTTTTATGGTTTAGATTGATGTGTTCTCACACATTTTACATAGTTCTTTCAACCACCTAAGTATTTTTGATATAGAATTGTGCAACATATTATTGATTCAGGGTGGATGTGTAGGCCTATTCAATCCTGTAATTTCAAAACATGTTGTATATGACAGCTGGTAATCTAACTGCTTACAGGGCATTGCCAATAATGAAGGTAACAATAACGCGCAGCGGGGCTATTGTTAAACGGATCATCCGTTCCCGCACACTGGCATGTGTATTGCTTCTGTCCCGGTGCGGAAGGACTATTTGACACTTTAAGAATGTAGGCGCTTCCACCTTTAGTTGAACAGGTCACTCCGAACACCACTTGATCCTACAAGGAAAAAGAAAACGAAAAAAGTTAATAAAGAAATTTTTATTATATGCAACCCTATATTAAAATGGTATCAACATTTTAAACAAGGTTGTTCCCATTTTAGATTGAATCCACAACTCGCAGCGTCATTGGGCTGAATTGTGTGGCGTGGTCCATGACTACTGTAGCAGCCGTAGAGAGGTGCTTAGTTATCATCATTCCATGACAGGGGCTTAAATGCACCATAGCAGTACAATAACTTCCTTCCGTTTATAGATAAGCACTATCTGTTAACCCCTTACTCTTCCAAAAGATGAAATGGATTCTTTAAAGTGCACATGAGCCAGAGGTATACACTGGACTTCCTGTTTTTAAGTTATTTTATTCCTTGTTTCGCGTACTTATTTTTTAAAAGATTATCGGAGGAGGGCGAAATAAAAATAAAAATAAAATTTTGTTATCTTATTTAGCAAATAGTTTTGCCAAAATCATCAAGACAGAGGAGAAAATAAAAATAAAATTTTATTGGTGAATGTAAAATAGGATGGTTAAATACTTCAAATATACGTATCTTATCTTTGGAGATTTCAAGGCAGCAGAAGGCGTAATAAAAACAAAGAAAAAATTTTATTTTTTTCTGAAATGCACTAATATTGGCCAGAAATAAAATGTTATTTTGATTCGAAATCGGCAATATTTGCAGTCAGCGGGTTTGCCAAACAAGGTATAAAAAACGTCTCGCCTTATCCGAGAAGACTTGGTACCAACCGCAGCGCCGATATTAAGGCTGTAGTTTGCGGAGCCCATGACTTACCATTCGAACGCTCAACTCACTCCATTTGGGGTCACTGCTGGCGTAGACACACAAGATATTCATTGCTTTTGGGTTAATTGGATTTCTTTAGTATTCTTATTTTTAATATTATCATCATTATCATAGAAATATTACATGACAAAGATTAAAATTTCGGAATACTGAATACAAAAATATTCTACAGACTTACAGCACTTGGTGTCATGGTAACATCTGTTGTGGTACTACCTGTACCACTTCCATGCTGAGCTATCTCATAGGAACATAGGCTGAGATCCCCAGCCCCCGGATCTCCCTTGGATCCATTGTAACCCCTGGGGCCTTGCATCTTGCTAACCGTATCAACTTCTTGGGTAAGGGTGGCGTTGACCGTCATCAATTTTTGATCTAAGCTCATGTCTGTCACCTCAAGCATAGTTACCTATGAAAAAAAGTGGGTAAATGTTGGTGAAAAGAACTGCCATGACAGAGTGGTAGAGTGCTTTACAGTATAAGCTAGAGGTGTTGGTTCATCCTAATTTTATGAATCATTAATATGTATAAAAAGAGTCCACTTCTCCAAATCAGCGTTTTTATTTCATTGTGTTTATCTTATCACCGTGCTTCGTAAAATCTTTGTTGTTGCCTGATGTTGCTGTTACTGTTGTTGTTATTGCTGCTTCTTCCCAGACGTCATTGTCACTGTTATTGTCATCATATTATTACCATTAACGCCAAAGGACTTACCTTGCTTGAGATATCAGCCTGACTGGTAGAAAGAGCGTCAATGCGAGCTGACAATTGAGTATTGATGGTATCCACCCTGGCATTGATATTCTCGTCATCTGTGTTTTGCTGTGGAAATAGTTTTTAAATTATTCAATATCATTCATGATAAATTATGAGAATATAGTAATAATTACAAAATAATAAATAGGAAAAATACAAACAAAATCAACAACAAAGGTGGATAATCTCATAGCTTACCTTTTGTTGCAAAGTTGCTATAGCAACTAAGGCATTATCAGCATTTGACTCAACATCGTTGAACTGGGCAGATGCGCTGCTTTTGTGATCCTCCAAACTTTTCTCCAACTCTTTGATCTGCAAAAAAAACGTAAGGAATTTTATATATAAAAATATTTTGTTGTGGATCATCCTGATATTTTTATGTGACTCAGGTCTTTGAATTTTTAGATGAGTACAGTATCTCTTTTTAAATATAAATTTTTTTCCAAATTTTCTCACACTGCCCTGCCTCAGGCCAGTTTAATGCGAGTCAGAGTGGTCATCTTGATCAGCTAAACCCCATCAAGTTGCATTTAAAGTGTGCTTCCAGCCAAATCATGACGCACACATGAGGCAGAAATTCTCTACTGGCTAACCAAAGCTTGCATAATTTTACTAGATTACTAAAATACAAATAAGAACATGAAAATACACTTACGTAGAATTCTAATATGAATGCTAAATGCATATCTGAATGGTGTTTTTATAATACTTCTGAATATTTTCCCCATTTTGCTCCATTTACTAGGGCGACTTAATGTCATGTATCACAGAAGAATTAAGCTGTATATATTTTAGTTTTCCATATATAACTTAACCTTTATACTATTAAATTAAATACATTTGTAGTCAAAGCAGTTTTACCTTATTAGAGTTCATCGTAATACGAGTACTATCCGAAGTATTCAGTGGATCGTCTCCGTTGCCAGATAAAGCATTTTCTAGATCCTCAATCTGTTTAGGATTTTATAAAAAAATTTGATTTATATATAACTGTTTGTAATTGAAAATATTTAGAAAGAAAAAAATAAATGTAAGAATTTCTTGAGGGCCTGCAGCCAAAGATAGCCATTTCATAGTTTCAAGTGTGCATTATCTTATGTCAAAGGTCAATACATATGAACAAACAATAATATGGTCCATACTAAAGACTTTATGAACTGTAAATTAGGCTATATTTATAGAATACAATAGACAATATACCATATACACCATATTATTTATTTTGTTATATACACATGAGCAATATAAACTAGAAGATTGTCTTTTTTTCTAGAATAATCAATAGAGTACTCACCTTCTGTGTTAAAGCCAGTAGCTGCTCTTGTTGCTCCAGAACCTTCTTCAGTAGATACTCTGTTGACATGCTAGGATCCACAGTTGGCCAATCACTTGGCGATAACGTTGATGGACGGCCAATCACTTTATCAGCAAATGCACTGTCTCCAGTTTCTATACGAAGGAAACAGAAAGTTAAATTTAAACAGATTTCAACCAAATGATATGCTAAATTAATTTCTTTAGTAATTAAAATACAGCATGTCAACTGATGCACTATGGAACCAATATACAGAATTACACAAAAATATAGACTTAATGACTTAAAAATACTGTACAATAAAATATACCTCTTAAAATTATATTTTGAATACTGATGTTTTCAAACTTTAATCTAATTTAATTTATGTCTTTTTCAGATTTCCAAACCAAGTGATGTAAAGCCAATTACAAATGGATGTACAATGTATTGTAGTCATAAACTCTGTAAATAATAATAATAATAATAATTCTGGATTTATATAGCGCCTCCCATTGACATTACCCCCGGATCACTGAATCAAGCACATATGGAACACACACTCAAGCCCCATAGGGGAATTCCATAATGTTGCAGCTGTATTCAGCGCAGGCTGTGTTTGAACCTACCAGGTACCCACTTGTACTCCTGGGTGGAGAGAGACAACCGTAGATAAAGTGCCTTGCCCAAGGACACAAGCGACTTGCACAGCGAGAGTTTTGAACCCCCGACCTTGAGGTTGGGAGTCCAAACCACAACCGATGCGCCAACCACTTCTACTAAATACAAACAATGCGATATTTACCTTTTTGTTCCACAACACCAAAGACCATTAGCAAGACTAGGACAATCGCTGCAACAGCTAAAAGTATAACAACAGGTATGATGCAATTATTACGGAAACATTTCAATTTGCTACCACAACAGGACGATGAGGGCTTCTTAGGATCATCATCGATATCAAAGACCTTCTTTTCTCCAAGCGTATGAACACTAAAATCCTCGTAGAGTGGGTTTTGCTTCTTCCTATAAACATAAAAAAGAAGATTGCATATTAACAATTTTTAAAGGAAAAAATATTAAGACCAAGTTCTTATACTATGTTTTAATTATAGACTGGTCTACATGGGCCAAGCTACAAGGTTATACATAAACAGGCCTGTATGGCCACAAGAAGATGATATAAGTAAACTGAAACAAGTTGATCAACTAAACACAGCCTGACAAAGTTAAATTTTTAAAAATTGCAGATACATAAACATTGACTGAAAAAAATATACAGATCATAGTTCAATGGAAAATTACGTTCAACCTTGGCCTTGAAGGAATGTTTTTAACACAATTCTCCTCTGACATCATTTAGAATTTCCTGTCTGGAAACTACTTTCCAAGCTTTCCTGTGCTTTTTAATAAATCTTTTCCAATCATCAAACTGTATATTCGCCAGTGGAGTTACGGTATATATACTGTACATTGTATACTGAGCCCCGTCAAGGAACCATGGTGGGTTATTAAGAGTTCCACATAGCTCCGTGTGTTATGAACATTGCCAGGTCACTGTGTAGTGTAACTGCAGGACTAAATATGGTATATTTTGATTGGATATAAATACACATTACCATGGAAACTAGACAGAAGGTCAACCTTTCTTCCTATCTCAGGAAAGGCAAAAACTTATCATTTACCCAAGGAAGTATCTAACTACACATCAGCTTGCTAACAGGAAACAATAGTGGATATGCAAATATTTGCTACTCTAGCTGGTCACTGGTTATACACTTTTTGTTAATTTCTTACACTATCTGTAGGTAAAGTTAATTTACTAAGATTTGATTGGATATGGTGATAGAACATGGTAAACACAGTGTGGGGCAATGGTGCCAAAACATGATCACAATATTTTGAATGGTACTTTTATTTGTCGAGACATTTTATTTAGATAACTGAAATGATAACTGAAAAACACAGACGCTTGCATATAAGAGATATTTTAAAGTAAATTTTTAAATCATTAAAAAAGAGCAACATAAAAATAAAAAGTTATTTATGTGAAAATGTATTCATCAAAGTATTATGAGCTGACCGCTAAGCCTTAATTACTAAATACCTGGCGCCTCCTCCTTGGGCAAGAGTAATTAAACTAATCATAGCGAATGACATTCAACTTTGTGTTAAGTTCAACTGGATATGAGTTGTAACTTCTTATGACATTGTTTCCTCCCTGACCTAGCCTATGGCCATCTTCATATCTATAAAATTTCTTGACCCATATTTAAGATTTGATTATGGCCATTCAAGGATGTTGTACTGGTCAAACATATCCTCAAGGTAAATATCACGACTGAGTAGTAAATTAGGTTTATACATGAGATTTCGCAGAATATTCTTAGACCCAACATTATAGCATAGCCCACTTTTGATGAGGTGATGAGAAGGGGTGTTTTTCTTTTTACTGAAGTCAATTTAACTGAAGACGAACAAATTCGAAATAATCCCATAGTATGTCCAAGTTTACCAATTTTTTTTAAAGGTATTCATTATTTCAATTGTTTAACTTAATTTAAAAAATGCTGTTTTCCATGCCGATTTGCTAGACAAGACAATGGAAGCAGAAGAAATATTGCACATTTTTAATAGGATACTGAAAACAAAAAAAGGAATAAATGATGGCCTAAATAATTATATATTAAAACAAATTTAATATAAAGTCTCTGTTTCAAGGCATTTAGACAGTGGAGACCAATGCAAATCTTTCGCCACTTACCAGGTACCAATTCATACTCATAAGCAATGGCGGCTCTAGGATATAATTTATGGGGGGGGGGCGCTAAGGTGTTATGGGTGTAACTATAAAGTAACGTAACCAGTATCAGACTTGAGCTCATGACCATTGGAATGTATGGTGGAAGCCATACCATTGCACCATGTGACATAAGCTAAAGTAATCATGAAATTGAAAACATAAATTCTCATTTCATTTATACACATATTACTAAAATAATACTCCTAAACTGATAGAAACCAGGAAATATATCTATATTACTAGGGCTAAAGAATGTAAACTGGTACCAAAAATTCTAGGACAGTGGGCTTATACAAAAAACCAACATAACCACAACATTAACAAACTTATATTAGTTGTTATGGGAAAAATAAATAAGTTTCTATCTTTACTTCCTGGACAGTAAACGCCTATACAACTTCAAGTGACAATGTGTGATATGCAAAGGCAGGTACAGTAGGACACCTTTGACCCTCCTGTACTAACAGAACCTCTATTATATTTGTATAACATATCATGTATACAAAGGTGCTCCTGATAATTTTATTTGACATTGCATATTATGAAAATCACAAGAGTAAAATTTCTTTCTCACCCCCTATAGACAGGTATACAGGTAAATCATAGCACAGGTTGGTGCTTGTAAAGGTATCTAAGGAATGTTGGAAAAACTGCAATGTTAATAGACATTCCTACAAGCAGTTCAGTGGTACCAACTTTCAGAGATTTTCCACAGGGGCACCAACCCTAGAGGACCAATTTAAAGAGCAGCTTAGGACCTCCAGTCAGGGTCCCCATGGAAGACGTCTGATGGGATTATGGGTGAGGGATGGTAAAAACTGTACTTTTAGACCACAATATTAGGAAACGGCATATATAGCTATAGCAATAACAAGTTTAGTCCTGATGACAACAACAACAGGGAAAGCTTCCTTACTGACACCACAATGGTTTTTAGCCAATATCCATGTCTATTAAAATGCAAACATCCTATCCTATGATTGGTAGTGATGCAATGCATGTATTACATACACAATGCTAGGTGACCAGAATAGAATGTACAGTATGCTTTTTATGTTATGCAATGATGTGAACTTGAATGCCAGGTCAGAAAACTGCGACAGAACTTTCAATTGTTTGATGAAAGTCTAAAGTAAGATTAAAGTCTATCACTTTATCGTATTGTTAAAAACCATTAAACTTTTCATTTTCTAACAGATAATGTGTCAACATGCGATAAATATTATCATAAATCCAAACACTCACAGCAACTTATGAGCATGTACCTTTTAAGTACAACCATAAAGTTGGCAAACACATTAACACACACTGTACAGTAATTGAAGAATATGAAAAAAACATAAGGGATTTTTTTTTTTCCATTTTCATCCAACAGAAAGTTAATAATAATTTTCAGGATATGGAAAATACTGTGCAGTGCTCTATATTGCATTATGAGGATTTACAGGGAGTGGAGTAGCTTATAAAATCATGAGAAAAATTCCTGGTGTTTGGCAATGGATTTCAATTTAAGAAGTTTAGATTTGAAGGCAGATACGTTAGCTCCCAAGCTCAGCTCCAGTATAAAATTATTTTGCAATATGTGGAATTTGAACCATTTAAATGTTTGCAATAATATTGATTATTTGGTCATTTAAAATAATATATATTATAAATAATTATAAAATAAAAGCTATATAGTTCTCTCTCTAATTAAATTAACCTCAATCCAATCATGGAGGTATCAAATTTACTATTTAACATCTTTTTGGTCCATTAAAGCTAGAGGCAGTTTGGTACAGTGAAAATGGTTTGGTTGGGGTTTCAATCCTTCGCTATGCATTTCACTTTATCTACATTGCTACCCGGGTAGCATCAAATTGCTGGAAATAAGCTGCAGTAGAACAGCGTCCTACACAGGGGTAGTACCACACTCTCCTCCGCTTCATGCTACTTGAAACTGGGGATGAGCTACAGCCAATATGAACCGCAAGGCTCTGCAAGAATTTACTATATTTTTACTGTTCCAATAAAGACCACCTCAATCTAATAATAATAATATTAAGTATAAAGACCACTGTTCTATGGGCCCCACATAAATGCTTATTTTTACCTTCATGACAATAATTTTTCTAACTAAAGACCAAAGAGCTCTGTTTAAGACCATAAAATTCCTGCTTCCAAAAGTGGTCTTTAATTGGCAGGAGAATTGCATTCTTAAGATATTACTTTTTAATACAACAGTATGCTTTTTAAATATTAATACAAGTAAACTACCACAGTATTTATTAAATCTATAATCATTCAGTTAATCTATTGGTTTATCTCTATCCATGGAGGTATTATGAGTTAATGGCTCCATATATTCTTCATTAAAATGTTTACATAGTTGAAGTTACTGGAGGTCAAACCATATTCCTCCATGATTATTATATGCTCTTTCAACTTAGGCTAATTAATCAATCTACCTGTAAATCAGATAAACCTGATAATCAGATTTGAGTGATGCTCCTAGCCAGGAAGTTAATACTTAAGATTACTTAAAAAAAAAAAAAAAGAATACGGCAAACATTGGCTTACTGATCAGAACCCCAAACAATACCAAAACCTTAATCTATTGAAAAAGTTTAGACAGTATTTTGTTCACGGTTTATATCACTGGACTAATAATGGCACATGAAGTGAAAAAATATCCATATTTGGTGAACATGTCTGAGGTAGTTCACTGACTGGTTCAACAAAATAATCATAGCTTATGGTCTGTACAAAGTGTTATTACAGAACTTCCGATTTATTCTATTAGCTATGAAGTTATAAATTACTTTAAAAAAAAGAAATAAAACAGCTTTTTTTTTTAATCTGCTTTTACAGACTTCTTTTTTTACCAATCAAACAAAACTTGCACAAGTGATGCATATAACAGACTCTTATCTGCTATGAATTCATTGTTCCTACCTCCAGGTATCAAAAATCTAAATACAATGTCAAATTCTAGAAATATAAACTATTCACCAGCCACATCAATCAAGAAATGCAAAACCTCGTTGGCCATCAACATTTCCCTCTTTCGTATTATATTGTGCTCAAAACTGTAACAGTTTTTCCTTTCAATTTAAAGCCAGGCTTTGGAGGAAAATACAATTTTGATACGTTGTACAATTGATTTTTCTGAGACACTAAAATTATATTTGACGAAAAACTCGGGAACAATTAATGAGATACATATATTTTTTTATTAAAAACT